TAAGAAAGTTGACGATTTTCAGCAAAATCTCATTTCCGGTGTCCTCTGGTCCGGAGCATCCATTTATACCTCATAAACCAATCATGTTTGTCGCGATAAACACCTAAATTTTAGCACTTATGCGTGTTTGCGAGCATTCTCACCATCAATTTCACATTCGTCGATGCCCGTTCCCCCCGTCGAAAATTCCCATGCGCTGGTATACAAACGCCTACCCATCTCGGCAGCATCATCCCCCATTCCAAACATCGATATCATTACCGAATCCCCAGCCCCCTTTTCTTCAAGCTGTTCCCTCCCCCCTTTCAGCCTTGTTCTCACGACACCCCTTTATGCATGCTAATCCATCCACGCAAACACATTTCGTGTGTTGCGAGTATTGGGCCGGAATTTACAAATTTCTAGGCTGGGTTTTAAGCGCCATATCCTGATCTCGGGTCTTTTATCTAAACTCGATTCAAAACGGGTTGCTAATTTACTGACAGAAATCGGTTATTTCTGGCCGATTTATAGGGCGTCTTTCGGATTAGTGTTGTCATTCCACGGTCGGCTTTGGCCACAAGTCATGGACAGGTGACCCTCCGGAATCGGATTTGTTTACGTCATTCACATTGGCTGTTGTTGAGTAAATCGCCACATTTTATGGAAGCCGTTATTTGGCATTTTTGAGTAACTTTCACCCTTGAACACGATTTCCCTTCAGGGTATCGGACCGCGTTTCCACGCTAAAAAAATTGAATTCAGCACGGCTTAGAGTGCTATTTTAAATTATGAGTTCAATTTCTTTATTTCCTTGGCCACAAAAAATATAATGTGTTGCTTGTATTTGGTGTACTTTTAAGTCTTGGGTATCTTAAAAAATCGACCCCTTGGCCGAATTCCAACGACGTTTTTGCCCATAGGGGGGAAAACAAAAGCATAAAACAAAAAAAAAAAAAAAACAATAAAAAAATTATAAAAATACTCAAAAAAAAATCAAAAAAAAACTCAAAAAAAAAAAAAAATAAAAAAAAAAAAAAAAAAAAAAAAAAGAAATATTAAAAAAAAAAAAAAAAAAAAAAAAAAAAAAAAACAACACAAACAAAGGAAAGAAACGAAAAGCAAACACACAAAACAAACAAAAAACAAAACAAACAAACAAAAACAAAAAAAAAAATAAAAAAAAAAAAAAAAAAAAAAAAAAAAAAAAAAAAAAAAAGAAAGAAAAAATAAAAAATGCATAGCCCCGCATCCGCGCCCTCACCTCATCTTTTCGGGCGACGACCCCCATTTCAATTGGGTATCCTTCTGTCTGTCGGTCACACTATCTGTCCCTCCAACTGTCCGTATCTTCTCATCCACGTTCCCCTTCTATTTCATACGTCTTCTCGATGTCTTCACAAACACCCTCCCGCTCCCCCCCCGAAAACAACTCGCTGCAGCCCCGTGCTTAACCCGAAAGGATTGATTAGTTTTTCTCGCGGGACCCAGCAATTGCACCCCTTCTCACCCACCCATCAACTACTCAAAACCCTATTTCCGACCCCGCTAATCCGGGGGCTTTTCCTTGGGGGGGGGGGGGGATGACCCGGGCAATGGCAACTCAATGCCGACAACAACAATTTTTGACCTGGTCTTGATGGGCTTATTGGGTTTTCAAGGTATCTTTAACCCCTTAAAACGTTAATTAAAACAACTTAATTTATTCGAAATTTTTTAAACTTTATCACATTATTAAAGCATCTTCCAATTAGCACAGATTTTTGCAAGCCTGGGACTAATTATTTTGGGCACTTCTTTCAATGTATTCCCCGATGAATAGGTTTTATTTTTGGAGCTGCTACGTCACGCGCCGTAGCGACAGCTTTACGACGAGTTATTCCGTAAGACACGGATGTTACGCGGATTTGCATGGGCCAATTGAAGGGGGCTGTTGGCGGAATTATTCATGGATGGGGTGTCTATAGGAGCATCGGGTCCTGAATCGGCTTCTCGCTATCGCAGCGTACCGAGGCTATTGTTTATCTGAAAACTTGAAATAGTTAGAGCCCCTGAAAAGCTTTATTTATGCATTTTCCAAATCATCGAAAGGGCAACTATTACGGGGGTTTGTATCAGGTTGGAACGAAAGTTCTGTCGCCGAGATTTTGGAAGGCTGGCTAAATTCGTAGATAGCTCGGCTCAGCGACAGAACTTTCGTTCCAACCTGATAGCATTTTTTAAATATTAAATTTTTTGCTAGCTTGAAAGATTGTATTTCTGTCAGTCCTGAAATATTTTAGCAGTCAAATATTACAAAAATAATAGGTTTTACAGAATTATTTAAGCTGTCAGAGGTCTTGCGGCAGCTTTTTTGCCTTTTTCTGAAGTTCAAATAAAATTTTTGCAAGATTACGGTAAGCTACTACTTCGAATCCCGTCCTCTTATTTTTCCAATCTGGGAACAGCTTACACCCAAGACATGGCGACAAATTTTTGCGCCAGCCTTCTTTTCCTGGTGCTCCTTATGTGACTGGAATAGGCGGGGCCCTTCTCCTACGGCTGTCCCCACGGCCTTAATTTCCTCGAGCCACCCGTCGAGACACACCTTCTTCTCGCCATCAGCTTCTCCTTCTCCCCTTCCACTTCTTCATCTGCTTCTCCTCTCGCTAAGACGGGGTGCCGCTCACTAACCGGCTGATTGTACGAAGCGATACCACCTGCCACTACCGCCGGGGGGTAAGGGGCCGATTATTTCCTCTAGTATTCAAGGGCTATTACCGGATTATAGTCGATGCTTGACGCTAAAGACCATGCGGCTGGAGATCCGTGAGTTATACAGGACTTCACATTCAATGGGGAGGCCTCGAGCCTGGATGTTCTTAGTTTTTCCATTAAATACATCTTACAATAATTTTTGGCCATATTCTCGATTTCTGGTCGGTCAGTCGGCCCCCAAAAAACTTGCCGAAAATAGGAAAAACGGGTGGCTGTCGAAATGCTGGACGATTCTTGCGTTGTCAGTAGGAAACAGTCGGCCTCGGACCTGCAGAGCAGGCTGAAGACGCGGAAACTGCTCGGTGTTGGGGAGCTGTGTCGAGATAATGGCGAAATCTACAGGAGCAAGGTGAGGCGGAAATACCTTCCATTAGTGCATAGTTTAGCAAATTTCAATTCGATACCCCTAAAAGTTTTCGGCTTCGTGGTACAACTCCTAACACCCCGAAGGGAGATGCATTTACGTTCGATTCTATGCATTTTGGATGCGGGTGTCTAGACGTTGGGTATATCAAAATTAAGCCAATGTGGACAAAGTATTTGGAAACTTCAAGGGCTAGAAAACCAGCAAATCCGTTTTTTTAGATTTCTCAACTCCTCGGTATCAACGAAAGCCTGTACGTCAGATTCCCGAAAGGATTGTTAATATGGAATTCCGGTCTCGCCCTCTACTTTTATATTATTGGAAGCTTTGTGAGTCATAAGCTCTATTCTAAACATTCTAAACATCTCTCTCTTGTTTTCGCTTCTCTCCTCCTCTCTCTCTCTCTCTCTCTCTCTCTCTCTCTCTTTCTCGCTCTGTCTCTCTCTCTCTCTCTCTCTATCTCCCTTTCTCTCTTGCTATGTTCTTCGAACCCCATAGAGGAAAAAAAATCAAACCCTGAACACAAAACCCACAAAAAAAACGTGTAAGCCGATAATGGGATTTGTTGCAGTGTCTGCTCGCCCCACGCATCGGCTACAAATTGGATTATGGCATTCAACCACCCGAAGGTTTGCCCAGCCGAATAAGAAGCTAGAAAAATGCCGCAATTTAGAGGCCCTGCTGCAAATCCGGCTCTACGGGGCTGCAATCCTATCCTTTGGGCTGCTATTCCGTTCCATCCTCCTCCAACGGGAAAATCGGTCTGAAATCTCGACGTTGCTGCTGTCTGTGGCGTTTCTTAATTTTTTACAGTTAATAGGTGAGTGGCGTCTCATTTTAGCGATTTTAAAACTTGTGTGGCCGCATCTAAACAATCCTGAACTTTTATAAAAAAAATTATTCAATAAATGTTCCACTTTGAGCAACTCTATTCGCCGCCGGCTGCTTCTACCATAAGCTGCTACGGGTGGTGGCGTTGGCTGGGAATCTGACATATCATCATTTTTTAGACGGGCAAGGTGGGTAAAGTTTATATGATATCTTGAAAAAGGTTTATACTCGCTATCATTTTTAGCGATTTAAATCTTTAATTAAATTCAGAAAAATAATAACAAAGCTTTTGCCTTAATTTTTTTAAGAACGACCGGATGTAAACGGAATTTTGTGTATTGAAAACGTCGAAAAAGATCGTAAAATTCTGTGCTAAAAGTGATAACGTCTAAATGTTATCAAAGCTACCATCTAATACTTCCTTTTAGGGGGTATATTCCGCAAGGCTCTGCGCTATATTGAGGAATATTGCCTCCCTCTGTGCACATCACCAACCGATGAGAAGAAGGAGGAAAATAAGGACAAAAACGCATAATTCTGAAAACCTCGCATTTGCTGAATTTTTTTGGCCCAACAACTGTACAAACTACAATTTTTGATCTTAATAACATTCTCAACGCAAACTGCATTGTGCAATGAAATGAAAACTTTCTTTATTAATAATTCTATGCATAAAATTCGGGATATATGCAAGCAAAAATACTTCAAAAAAACACAAACACAAACATACATTATGCGGGTTTTTTAAAGAAGTGAGCGTTTGGTCAAAGGTCGAAAAATGGCTTTTATTTAAAAGGCAATGTTGAAAATAAGAAAAGACACAACGAAGCGCACCTGCGTTTTGACCCAAAATACATATGGTAATTTAATAAAGGAAACCATTCGCAAAGTGCTACCTTTAATGCGCAAATCTCGAAAATCGATTGGGCAATGTTGAAAATCAGCATAGTAGAAAACTTCGTAATCACAGAATCATGAACATTGACGACAAAGGCAGAGTATCACCAGGGTGTTGTTTTTGGGTAATTTTTTGGGGGTTTTAGAGTTTTTAAATTTGGACTTTTTGTTAATTATCGCGGTGGGTGGCGTTTCCGGAATGGGGGATCTTGGGTTTTGTCCAGAATTGGTCTTGGATGGAAAATCCATCGATTGTTGTTCCGAGGGTTCGCGTTGGAACCTGGGAGAAGCTCTTGGCGCCGGAATCGTATCTGAAAAATAGGATTTGTAAATTTTGCTCTCTCTCTCACTCTTTCTCTCTCTCTGATTCTCTCTCTCTCTCTCTCTCTCTCTCTCTCCCTCCCTCTGTGCCTCGCTGTCAAGAAATCTCTGGTAGGTTGCCATGTGGATAGACAACACAGTCCCGCAGAGAATTTTCAGGATATTGCACCTGTAAAAAACAGCTTTTTGAACCCACTTGAACATCAGCTTCATCATGCTGGTGTTGCACACCTTTGGCCCGGTTCCGGTAATCTTGTGAACGGTGTTTGCCACCTGATCCCAAGAGTACAACCCTCGAAATTGGCATTTCTGATCGCGGAATAGGAAGAGGAAGTGTTTGGAATCGGATTTGCCCATCTCACCGAGCACCTAGAAAGTTGTATAAATCCACATTAATTTTAAATTATCTAGAAACTGGCACTAGTGCTTGAAAAACAGGTAACATACCTTATTCCGGTCATTATCACATACGGCTCCCGGAAAAACGCTGTATTGCAGTGCATTCGTGACGAGTGATCGATTCGACTTTGGTGAAGCCTTGGCGAACAGTTTCAACGCTAAATGACGTAGGTATAAAAAATTAACCCATTCTCTTACTTGGCTCAGCAGTCGACGGTACAAAAATCCTTCCCTCCCCATCGACATTACTCTTCCCGCGTACCATCCTCGGATTTGCCCGCCCAGCATCCATCGATTCGGACATCTGAAAAAAAACAGATTTCGAATATTACCTTATTGTTGGAAGTACCATACGGTGTGTGGTCAAAGAAAAATTTAAAACTGTCTACTAAAAGGGTAAAAGACGCTTCTTTTTACCTCTTCTATTGGCTCGGGTACTTGGGTTTTCTAAAAACGACGATAATTGAGTGATGCCTTTTCAAAAACGTAAAGAGAATTCCAAAAAAATTAAAAAAGGATGCGAATTAGGTGTTTCTACAAAATTCTAACAAGATAAACTAGTGCTACCTCGATTCTTGGCGAGGCTTTTCGAATCTCCTAAAATGTTAATAAAGTAAAAGTGACCGAAATTATGGTTGCATGATGCACAAACCTGGCTTTTCGTCCGGATGAAAGGTGGTTGAGAATGGCCACGGGCTGAAGCAGGACGAGCAGATTGTGATCCATCAGAGCCGAGCTCTTTTTCCAATTTTCGTCTTTTGTAGTCGTCCAAAAGACGTTGACGATGCAGCTCCTTCTCCATTTTTCTTTGCTCGGCCATTTCACGTTTTGCTTCCTCTTGCGCTCGCTTCTGAAAGAGCATTTTTTAGAAGCACGCTCGGTGATCCTTTACTAATAATAATGATATGAGCAACCAATAAAGCCGAAAACACAACATACCTCAGCAAACTTGTTCTCCAGCTTCTCCACCTGCTGTGGAATCTGCTCCCGGCGTTGCATAGTTTTTGCCAACAACGCCTCCTTTCTGGCAGCCCGTCGCTCTTCCGCCTAAAAATATGCGATGAAGCCGAAACACCGACAATAACGTACAATCTTATCAAAATCAGCCGCCGCCTGATCGTCACTGACGACGAAGCCCTGGCTGGGTGGGGCAAGGATTCCAGGGTCTCGGGGTGGGGATGGTTGAGGCTGGGATTGGGCACGTGCTGACACTAAAAGACACTTATTGAGCTTAACGTTAGGATTTATAGTAGCCGATAGTTTCCATAGCGTTCGCTTTTTCTTAAAATACTTAGTAAAAGCTACTTCTATGCCAGTTCTTACCTGAAGGAGCCGTGTCCAACAACGTCGGCGGCATGCTCTTCTGATGCCCTTGGTGGTTGCCATCCGAAGATCTGAAAAGTTGTATAATTAATACCCTGAATTTTGGTATACTAATAAGGCCCATGGATTCAAAGCCACACCCACATTCTCCTATTAACAATCTTATGCCCAGCCTCGGCCATCGTCGTCGCCGGTCCATCATCCTGGACATACGGCACCAAATCCGGGTCGTTGACGAGGTCCTGCTCCCTCTTGATAAACGTCTGATTCTCCCAGGTCTTCCTCTGGGGTCTGTTCGTCGATTTATAGGTCATTCCCCAGTTTGTCAGGTTTCGGTTGAGCTCTAGTTGGGGGTCGACGCGAGATTGTGGGGCCTGAAAAGGTCATAAACTTTCGTACGCTCAAAATATCTCACGGCATTAGTATGCAATCGGAATGTGGATGTTCCATCGTCTACTTGTTGGTCTGGATATTGTAGTTGCTGTCCATACTGATCCATCGATTGTCCCATGCCATAGGCCTGAGCCATCATTGGTGTTTGTTGTTGGTTAAGGAGGGAGAAGGGTTGGCCGATGCTGGCGTGAGCGGATTGATGCATCTGTAAGGAAGGATATTACGTAAGGAAAATACTTATGCGTTTCTATACATTCTATTCCGTTTAAGATCTTATATACCTTTCACTCATCATCTACTTTTCGACGTTTCGAAATTACACAAGTCGAAAGCGCACTAACCATATTTGGCATTTGTTGTTGCGCGTACGTTGGTTGCCCATACATATCGTACTGCATTGGCTGTTGTTGCATCCCGTACTGATCGTACTGTGGCGGAAGCTGACCGGCAGCCGCGTAATTTAACATGCCGTTGCTCAACGAGGGGCGCATCATCTGAAATTTTGGAATTCGACCTACTTTAGGATCTTGACGCCTCTCCTAAGGTATAGTTTTTATTACCTACCGGATTTGGTGATTGGTACTGCTGTTGTTGTTGCTGTTGTTGCATCATATACGGTGACGATTGAGGTGTAAAGGGTTGTTGCCCGTACTGTGCCGTGCCTTGAGCACCGTGAGGTAGTGTCCCGAATTGTCGAGGTGTGGCTGGGTTGTTCACTTCTAAAGGTACCGATTCAATAGGTTTCTAAAAATCTGGTGCTTACCTTGATAAATCGAAGGCTGTGAAATAGCTCTCGACATCCGCTCCATTTCACTGTTCATCTAAATATCGGAAAATTGATATAAAGCTCTAAATACCTGCATCTCCAAGACTTTTTGCTGTAGCTCCATAACCTGTTGCTCCAGCGCTTTCTCTCGCACATTTTCATCCACATTTTCGGTCTAAAAACAGCTAAATTTTAAATTTTATTTTTACCTCGTGCCGTTGCATCAACGCGAAAAATGCCTGCTTGCCTTTTTCAGTACGATCCACTTCCGATTGCGCCCTGAAACCTGGATATAATTAACAAAAGACGGATATCGAGCTATGTTTTCTGCCAGCTCGTCAGAATCGATGATGAATACAATCCATAAGAAAAGAGGTACTGGACTGACAAATGCTTTTGCTTCTTCTTCTCGTGCTCACGGCGCTTTTCCTCGAGGGCCATACGAATCGACGCGACGGGTAGGGAGTCGCTTCTCGAGTAGTTTAGGTTGCCGTTGGACCCGGATTCAGCCTAGAAATGAGGATTAGTAGAGGTAGTGGAAGTTTCTTTGATAGGGGGACCCAGCAAAGTTTGTTAGAGAATACCAACAACGCGTTTTTATTGAACCAACCTGTTGGATCTTTGAGAAATTGGTAGTATTCTGGCCCCAATTGTTCGGAGGTGCTTTGGTGGGAGAGCCAAAGTTGTTCCGGCCTGTCATCAAAGAATCGGCGCTCATCATCGACATCGAACGGCTTGGGCCCTGAAAGAAAAGGATGTTGGTTGTCTTGAAGCTGTGGTCACGTAAGTTGCGTATTGAATTTTACAAAAAATAAAGTCAACAAGCTGCTGAACGTTTTCACAAGCCAGAAGTAGCCATGAGGCCGTGCCCTCATAAAGCAGCTAATGGCTTTTTGGGCCATCCTATCGATCCTGTAGAACTTTTTTTCAGATTTGGCAACTTTCCAGCTGTTCAAAGCTATAGATTCCGGTCTTGTAAGTACCGCTAAAGCTCTATAAAACTTTACCAACCGGTCCAACTTGGGGGTACTGCACCCTGGGTGGATGCGAGGGTCGCTGAGCTGAATTTTCGGCACGCAGGTTCGGAATCCCCTGGATCGGGACGAATCTTCGCGGTGAGGTAACTTCTGGTGGCATTTGAGGGGTAGAAGCTGAAACGCAATACTAGAACTTGTTCTACTGCTTTGATAGGATTTAACACAAGTTCTCCCGGGTATCCCCAAAAATTCAAAACCTCTATGATCATAAATCGATTTACGGCATCTACAGGCTGCAAAGAATCTTTTATAACATTAAAATTATATTTATATTAAATATATGCTTCAATATTCAGTACTTAGTTGAATAGATCGCAAAAACATATTATTCTGTTAAATCCAAGCGCCCCACCTATTCTGGACGGTTCGAAAAAGTCGAACATGTCCGCCAGAAAAGCGTTGACGTTTGTTTGCAAGGACTCATGGAGGTAAAGCACGTCTTCAATTTCAAAATGAAAAATGTTGTACGGCATCGCGTTCGAGGCGCAGAATTGCCTAAATTTCTATAATTTTTTAAGGAAAAATTGCTTACTTCAGCTTCAACCAATTGTATTGGCAGTCAGCGATCGAATTCGGGTCGTTGAAGCAAATACCTAAAGAATGGAAAGGTAATGTTCGCTAAGTCGATGAGAGATTTAGGCTTTGCAGGCCCTTGAAAAGTGAGACCAACTTGATAGGTCCATCTGTTCGGGCCGATAAAAATGCGCAAGAGCGCAAACACAGCATCCATCGCATAAATCCTCATACAAATCCTCCATCTCCGGGATTAGGCCCTCATCACCTTCATCGGACGCTAAAAGGTGGGTAAATTTGGTATTCACTAGATTTTCATACTTCTCAGGCTGGTTCCGGTTCTTTCGACGTCATCTCGGACAAGGAGGCAAATTTTGTTGATCCAAAATAGGAGCGAATCCACAGCGTCCATGGGTTGTTCTCGTTCATCAACGGAGGTGTATTCACTACAAAATTAGCATATTAACCTTTATCTGGTTTTTGATATGTTATAACTACTTGATCGCCTTTATAAAAATCATTAATTTGTTACTTGCCTAACAGCATGCACAGCTCGATCTATCGTAACGACACTTCGGAGATGGTACGTCATTAGTGCGTCGATCATGGCAACGTGGGCAGTCTGAAAGTGATTTTTTACTTTAATACCTTTACAGAGTCGTGTTTTACATTACACATAGTTCCCTTTCAGTAACATCTCCTCCTCACATACCTCGTAAAATGGATTAGCCGAAAAGAGCCTCTGCTCCGAGACAAGCATGCAATTCCCGTCCACCAGCTTCTCCAACGCTTCTACCTCGTTATACTGAAGGGCCCTCAGGACGCCGGCGTGGGATTGCTAGAGTTGTTTTTCGTTTTGAAGTGGCTTTTTGTCTAGCTTTTTTATACCTTAAACGCAAAAGTCGAAAACTTACCGTCACCAAGCTATGGTCCTTAAAAATCTTCACAGCTGCCTGGCTATACAGAGATCCGTTGGTAAGGGCGGTCAGCACGGCGGTGTCGATGTGGAGGTGGCCCTGAAATGCATTTGGTTTATGATCTTTGTAGTTTGTAGCCTTTACCTCATCGTCCCTAACTACAGCCGATTTCAGCTTGTCCGGGATGTCATTTTCGTAGACTCGTGAGATCAGCCAGCGAACCGATGCTGCGAATTTTCCCTGAAAAGGCGTCATAATTCCAGCGTTTTCGATTTTAGAAAATTCTTATAAAATTTCTGGACTACTTCCGGTCATCATTCGTTATGATTTTTTTGTACATTTGCATAATAACCGGTTGAATCTTTCGAAAATCGTCTTTTTAAAGGGGTTTTTATCTCAATAAAGAATGCTTTTTCTTCAAAAACCTTCTAAAATGGCTTGGTCATTTTTCTATACGTAGATTTTCCATATTTTTCGTTATTATTCCCATCCCCACCTACTTACAGCTTTCTCGGCAGTAATCCAAATTCTGCGGATTTGTATGGCCGGTCTAGGGATTGGCCGCGTGAGTAATAAAGCCAGGATTTCCAGAAAAAATTGAGCAACAATGAAAGGGCAAGTGTCGATGCTCCCTTTGTCAATGACCACCTTTTCGAACCCATGAAATTTGATCCCCCAGCTCCATTTTTTACATTTTCGCGTCTGCCCCCCGAAAAGTCAATATCTTGCTTGGGGCTTGGTAGCTTTTGGCTTTGTATGGGGCTGTGTGTGAGTGAGGTCCCCTGTTCCTCATCCACAATGCAGCGGGGAATGAAAGTGGGAATGTGCCCTGGGGGCAAGGAGAGAGAGAGAGAGAGAGAGAGAGAGAGAGAGAGAGAGAGAAAGTTGAGGGCAAGGAAGGTCTTTGTTCTTCCCTTTAGCGGACCTTTAGAAGCCAGGGTCTTTCGGTTGGTGGGCCACACGCGATGTGTCAATTCCTGTGGTGCTGCGGGGCACAACTATTGGCAGGGGAGCGGCCACTACGCTACATTGGATAGTGCCAACGAGGAAAAAACCAAATAAAAAATAGAAAACGGACGTAAATCTAGACATTTATAGCCTTTAGCTGGCTGATTTTAACCTCTTAGGTGTTTTTAGGTATCGGAAACTTAACATTGCCTCTCCGGATACCAAGCCTCCTTTTTACAGGGTTTTTCTATGATTGCTTAACATCACCATATTCCCCAATATTTAAAAACCCCAACATCCCATAATTGGCTTATTGTTGTTGACCTCCCCTTCCGGATACTTGGCCATCCCCCAAGGGCATTAAGCCTCCGCCAGATGGCCTCCATCTACCACCAAACACCGATCCCCACCCCACCCAGCCGAATCGAGTGAGAAAGTGCATTAGTCAGGGCTCAATGCCCGAGATGAATCTATTATAAAAGTACCCACATGTGGCCACTTGTAACGGGTACCTCACGATTTTTCAGATAGATTTTTTAGATATTTTTGATTAGATTTTTGCGTTTTCACCCACCTCGGCCGCATTGTACTCGTTGACACCGGTCAATTCAGGCAAAACTCCGTTTTCCATGGTTTAAAATATTTCCGGTTTTCCGTATTCACGATGGCATCCGGCTAAAAGAGTTTTCGATTTTGTGCCGTCAAGAAATTTCATGGCAAACCAAAGGAATGTTGTACGAAATTGAAAAAATCTGAAAGCCGCTTCTAAAAACGTTACAATACTATAAAATATACAAAACTAAACAGCGCTAGAGGAAACAAGCAAATTTCGCTATTCAAGGTCTGCCTTGTCCGGCAAAGACGATAGGGAAATTTGGCGGAGGATCGGCGTGGCAAAACGGCATAATGGAGCCGGTGATGCGTAATGGGCGGAGGTGGAAAGTCTTTTCGCTAGCGTAGGAAATGGTTTGTATCGAATTTATACTGGCAAAACACGTATCGGGAGAAATTAAGAGCTTTCGTGCCAAAAAAATGTTACTTCCGGTCAAAAATACACAAAAAATAGTATAGCAACTAAAAATCTAGGCTAAAACTTGTGTAAAAATATAAGAAAGAGCACAAACAAACGACCTTCTAGTAGAAGATAGCTTACTTACTTACTCTCGGTAAATCTGGATAAATATACAAATTCCAAACAATCGAACCCCTAAAAAAAATGGCAGCCAAACCCCCCATTGAGCGGTCAAATTACGGGGGGCAATTTGCCGGGCAATGCGGACACCCGGCTTGCCAACCCGCCGGCAGATTGTGGTCAAGCCCGCAGGCGAGAGATCGGAGATTTTGTGGAAAGACAACGGAGGATCCGATTCCCCCTTTCTCTCCCCCTTCCATAGGCTAAAAGACCGCCTCGCAACTGGGGGTGCGTCGCGTGCACGTGTCCATCCCTTTGCAGAGGCGGTAGAGGGGGGGGGAGTAGGGGCTATGCACGACGTCCACTCACTCAACCCTTCCTCCCTCTCCTTCCAACCATCACCATCTAAAGTCTCCCAAATTCTGGGGTGGCCCTTCTTTTTGGGGCAGGGCATCTGGTGGAGCAAGAAAAAGGAGAAAAAGACGAGAAAAGAAGAAATTATATGAAATTCGAAAAGCTTGGATTCAGCCACTTTATGCCTTGAAAACATAGTGTAAAGTAGCATATTTCTTATCAAATTAAATCCATATAATTTTTTTAAAAGATCCGAAGAACTTCCATTGCGAATATAGGTTTTTGAAGCTTTTCCGAAGGTGTATTTGGAACATACGGTAGTACTCCCTTTTTCGGAAAAAGTACGGTGCTATCCGACACGATATGACACGGGATGCATTGATTACTTCCAGAACTGTTGATTTTAATGGTGTAAATGGGTCAAAAAGAGCCCTTATAGAAGCCTTGACCCTGAAACACGCTGCGACTGATAAGGACTAATTGGCATCTAGGCGCTAATTAACCACAGCGTGACAGGTTAACGTGAAAAATTCCAGAAAATGGATAAAAATCTATTTAGATTTTTTGGGTTAGCCAAGGCGCCAAGTATGCCAGCTCTAGAATTCTAACAGGCTAAAACAGATTAAAGTTTAAACGCCGACCAAAATAAAACACTTTCAAGGAAATTTAATATTTTTTGAACACGATTTTGGAGCAGATTTTATTTAGAATATTTTGATCATACCACAAAGCGTGCAAATACCGGATGGACAGATCGAGAGGAGGTGCCGAAGCCCTGGGACAATAGCTTTGCCGGGCAAGTATTCGGGCCAAGGCCATTTATCGCACAAACACACACAACCCAGCGGCCACTTTTTATGCCCTTTCGCCCTAGCGCTGCCCGGTTCTCACAGCCGATGATTTTTTTTGTTTGGTCGATAGACTTAGGAGAAGAAGCTAACTGGATTTTGATTAAAGTAACAAAATTAACCTTTTAGTTATCAGAATTCAAGATTTTAGCGTTTTTCAGGATTTTATTTCACCTACGATAAATTTGAATTCTCAAGTTGTTCAAAAAAACCCGCCTGAGCGCAAGAGAAAAAGGGAGAGATAGAGAGAGAGACAGAGAGAGAGACAGAGAGAGATAGAGAGAGGGAGAGAGAAGGAGAGAGAGGAAGGGAGAGGGAGAGGGAGAGAGAAATAAGGCTCTAATCAGCATAAATGCTCCTAAGTTGAAAGAAGAACTCGTAGTTTACGGAAGCCATAGTCCCTTTTTTTATCATGATTTATGCAGCCAAAACAGTAATAATTGAGCAAATATTTATTCATTTCGAAAAAAATATAATTGAATAACAAAAAACACACGTACATGACTCGCATAGACGCTGTCAAGTGACATGGGGAGAAAAACGACTCGGTCGCGACGATTAAAACAATAATATCAAATCTTTTTACAAGCTGACAGGGGCCAAAAAAGTGTATAAAACAAGGGAAACGAGGAGATCCAATAAACGTGTAAGTCCGGGTGGTGGTAGGGTCCCGCAAATTCTGTGGGGGGCATTGGTCTTTGCTGGGGGTGAGGGCCAAGATAGGGTGGTTGCGAAATAAGTAGGGGGCCAACTTTAAGAAATTCCTCCTTGAAAAATATTGGGCATCCGCTGTACGCAAAAATACGGTAGAATTACGGTAAAAAAATCTCATATTTCAAGCTGCGTCGGACGATGTGAAAGACTCGGGAAATTCAGGTATTTAGGGTAATATTAAGTTATTAAATCGGCAGATCGCGATGCTTCCGCTTATACTCTTTACAGCAGATTTCGGTGCACCGTTGGAGGGATTTGAAGTTGTTGAGGGTTCCGTCGCAGCCTCCGTACTTGTACTCGACGCACGTGTCGGACTCTGGGTGGTAGCCGTATCGTTTTTGCTCACCGTTGCACGGGCCCGGGTCTCGGGGGGAAAGGCAGAAGTCCATTGGGTCCTGGAAATTCTTGGATCGAGGTGGTAGCTAGCCGAGATCGCTAGGGAACAGGGGTTCGTCTCTTAAGGTATTCGTGAGGCACAAAAATGCACTATTTCTCGGACTCTTGGCGGCGGCCCGGCAAATTTGGTGAGCCATTTTTTAAGGGACTGGCAAGCCAAACATCAGATAAATTTGGTGCTTTAGAATTATCAAAGTTTTTACTCATTTTTGGTACTTACCTCGCAACAAATCGACACGTTGTGCTCGCTGCTCATATGGCAGATATACCCGGCCGGGCATCCCTTATCAATTCCACACGAGAACACAGCACCCCGCTCAACCAGTGGCAATCCATGGGGGCAGAAGTTACGGTATTCTAATCAAAAACTGGACTTTTCCCTGTAATTTCCATACCTGGACAGGCTGCCCTGCAAGCGCGCTCACTAACAAAGTTATTCTGGTTTCCCTGCAGTCCGGTGTACGAGAAGGGCGAACACCTGAATTTTGGTAATTCATTATTGGAAAAATTAATTATAAGAATAAAAAATATTTACTGATATAAGAAAAATTATTAGATAGGCTCTTATGCATTGTAAAGTACCGGTTCGTTTTGGCGTCATAGTACCATCGCGGAATTTGCTGTCGACCGATGCCTTCTTGGCGGGGTTGCTCGCAGACCTCGACGTCTAAAGATTCAAGCTATACCGTAGGTGAGTATGAAAAATGAGTATTCCAAAAAAGGTATACTTACGCGCTCGTGGGCAGCACACCGTACTCAACGCGTTGCCTCCGACATGACAGTAGAAGTTGGTAGGGCAAGTATCATTCTAAAAAATTTCGATTCTTCTCGTAGAGTTCGAAGAAAAATTAAATTTTTTAACATAGGAATTTCAGGCGTAACTTACAGCCAACGTCGGCAAGCAGGACAAGCGATCCCCATTTTTGTCGACAAGGGGCTCACCGACACTGCAGGGATTTACTTCTAAAAGTGGGAATTTTCTTTGTAGCTTCGTCGAGTTCCCCCTACCTTTACAAGCCTGTCGGCAAGCCGTACGGCTCAGGAAGTTGTTCGAATTTCCCTTGGTTCCCTTGTAGATGAACTGGCGGCACATTTGGACGGAGCCATCGTAGAACCACCTATCGAGCTTCTCAGGTCCTTCTCCGACTTCCATTTGCAAGTCGCAGGGTTTTCGGGCTGAAATATGGAATTAGCATTGCTACTAAGGTACACTAAAGTCACGGTTTAATTTAATGCACGTATACTAAGGTCATCAGTAACCCTCAAATTTTGCTACAACTATTTTAATGCACGTAAACTTACTCCCAGGACAACAATTCGTCGTTTCCGGCGCGCTTCCAACATGACAGAAGTATCCAGTTGTGCACGTATCCTCTCCGCCGCAAATCACTGGCTCCCTGTCTTCAGTCAGAAGCGGTTCACCCTCTTTGCAGGGATTCGGAAGAACTATATATTTTTAATTGATTTTTAGCTGCCATGGCTTACCTGGACAAACCAGCTCACAATCCTCGAGGCTCAAGAAGTTGTTGGCGTTTCCCTGGTTGCCCTTGTAGAGGAATTCACGGCATCTCCTGGTTTGTTTATCGTAGAAGAAGCGTTTCAGGGAGTAGGTGCCATTTCCGGAAGTCATGTCTTGCTCGCAGGGATCCCCATCTGAAAAATGGGATTCACCTTGTTCAGAATCGTCGAAAATTAAGTTTAGACCTTTTAATTAAGTGCGTTTAAAAATTTTAATAAAGTAACTTTAACCTACTCTTTGCGCAACAGTAATTCGGCGTGGCTGGCGCTCCAATATGACAGAAGTGAGTGGATGGGCAGCGGTCCAGTGGGTTACAAAGCTGAAACACACCTAATTTGGGCTTCTCTCGAGAGTGCGATACCTTTGGCATCGTTCCAATCAACAACGGCTTTCCATTCCCGCACGGATTCTCGTAAGTAGGACAGATCAGTTGGCAATCCTCCTTCGTCAAGAACATATTCTGATTTCCGCCCTCGCCCTTGTAGATGAACGCCACGCATTTCTTCTGGGTGGGGTCAAAGTAGAAGCGGGAGAGGTGACCGTTTCCGGTACCGAGGGAAAGGGGAAGTTCGCAGGTGTTTTGGACTAAAATTAGGTGTTGTTTCGCTATTAATGTATCAATACGCTGTCCTAGGCATATGTAAAATAACACCTACCAGCTGAGCAGC